GAAAACTATCGTATATTAGATAGGTCCAAAACCTAATTGATCCATGAGATCTTCGTTTGATGCATCTTTGAAGTACCAGGCTCGCACACAAATAAGAAAAAATTGAATTGATAGATACTTAACCTAACCAGCCTCTTTGGGAATTGGCAGAGAGTCTTGATTTGAAAAATTAGTCACAAAAATTGTGGTTTCAGTTCAACCTAGTAACGGCCTGTATTATGTAGCTACTTACTGCTTTTTCTATTTGATGTAAGATAATTTTCGGCAGTAGGTATCTATCGCTCCGAGAAATATAGATTTTAAATGGTTTTTTGTTACTAAACAAATCTGTTATGTTATTGGTTTTGAGAATATTCTCGACCAATGACGGGCGAGAATGCGATCGAGCTAATTTCGAGAGTTTGAATCGATCTTTCAGAATAACCTAGCTGTCTGACAATAGATTGAAATGAGTACCTGTTTGATAATTTCTATGTTGAGAATTGAGATATGAGTATTCTTATTCAAGCAATTAATTTCAATTTCATAGATATTTTTAACAACATTTAATTTTAACAGAGATGTCTGCAAGTGTACCTGTCTACACCCTCCCTATCTCCCTATCGAAGAGCGCGAGTTATTTTGTATTGTGTGCGTATTACACGTTTATAAGCCGATTTTGCTAGAATTTTCGCGATGTATGTGTGCGTAACTTTTCGAGTAGGTAATGGCAGGCGCTCACAGAGGTAATACATAGCTGAACTACGCGATTTCTATATTTTATTTCATACCTATGTCAGACTTTTTTGTATTGACAACAAAGATTTATTTTAACATAGTAATTTACTGTTTAAGTTATACGGGAGAGCTATAGTTTGACCGCAACTATTGCATTCATGCGGGTACTTTAATCTCTAAGAAAGCATGCGCAAAAAATGTAATATGGTGCTTATCACTACCCTCATCACTACTCTTCACTAATCCTATCGCTTGGAGAAATGGATTTTAAACGGTTTTCTGGAAGATATAAGGATCATTTCAAACAAACCTGCTCTGTTTGCTAGGATATTCTGCAAGACGTCAATTCGAACTCTTAATCGCATTCTTGGCCGTCATTGGTCGAGAATGGACAGGATACTGGACAAAAGTCCGGTATCAGTTGGTAGAGGTATGGTCAGCATCAAAAGTTGACGAACACATTTACATTTACAAAATCGCTGTACAGCATATTACTTATATCTAAATCTGTTAACATGACAAGCGACAGAAATAAATAAATATCTTGTGTTGCATTTAAGGTGCTTGCCATGTTCCTTGCCCGTCATCATGCTCGGTGATTTAGGCACAGTACAGTCTACAGCAATTTTTAAAATCGAAATGTGTTCATCAAGTTTTGATGCTGACCGTACCTACGTTATGACGAACATAGTGCGCATAACGAGATAGGATCTAACATATATATAAATGTAGCAGAGTATATACAAATATATGTCAAAGCACATTTACTTACGTATTTCTTAAACATAATTTACTTACTCTTAGTTAAATTTTCTGCTGGTATTTCAAAATTATTTAAATTATTATATCTACTTCCGCGCGGCTTAACACGCTCTGCTCAGCACCTATTGATCGTAGCGTGATATTTTATAGCCCACAGTCTTCATAATATAAAGTACTGCAATGGTAAATGTTAAGTTTTGCGAGCATTTTAATAAAACCGTTCAAAGTTCTTTAAAACTAATTATTTAAACAAATTTGCTAATTACATCACACATTTGATGTAGATAGATCTTATATACGCAACTTGCCCTTCACAACAAAAAGTTATTAGTATTCATAAGATATTAGCATAGATTGGCCGTGTCGTTTCACCGACTGCGATCGTTTAATGCAATGTATGCTAATAACATTATTAGGTCACTGGGTCGAATGTTTAATGTGTATATATCACCTTATTAAGTCAGCCAGCAATGAATTTCGGGTTTCATTTCCTTACCGGGACAGATTATGATATGTTGAGTATTTCTGAATGTTACTTTTCTTATATTCTTGTCTGAGAGCAGGGTCTATTGTCTAGGCACCTCATTGTAGGTTATATTGGTAGGTACTATTTAGATCCTATTTCGAACACACTGTATCTAAGTGACCTCAACAAATTTTAATGTAGTTACGTATCTGTATCGTGGTTTATTTCTAATGAATTCCGAGTCCAGTCTATATCTCTAATTCTATACGATTTACACCTGACGGCAGTTCACAAGAACAGTATCCCCATTATACAATTCTCTTTCACTCTACATGGGATAGAAAGAGCTGCACGAATAATATTTATCTTTTTTCTCATTCAAATCTGTTAGAAAACAACCTGTTGCTGTATCCAGGGAACGAATGTTACACAGTATTTTACAGTATGCGAAATATTTTGCGTTAAAATAAACCTATTAAGCGATTTCCTTCAATATTATTACGGAACCAAGTTCAGAAGCCTACTCCATAATACCGAGCCAATAATTCGCAAATATCTACACCAGGTATATGTCACATTTGGGGAGAAACATACACGGGAAAGCAGTCAATGTTTTTGATTAAAATGAACTCACACTACGACAGCAAGGGTGGTGCACAAACGAATGGATGGACCTAATGCTATAGTTAATATACGAATAGGTAATTCCTGGTACTGAGATTATTGAACAAATTTTTGCAAGTTCCAAGGTTGCAACAGTTTCATCAGCGCAGCGGGCAGCAAAAGGATATCTTAGCCTTTGAGTGCACGGCTAGCGCAACGTGACGTGCGTTTCACTCAGACATGGAACTCCATGATGGAGTGTTATGATACACTCTAGAGATCTTTTTGAAACATTTCTATATTTAATTTCATAATTCAAAACACATCTAGTAGGTACAGACTATGAAAAAAAAACAAGATTCATAATTAAAATAATTAGTATCACGGTATTAGTAGTACGGTTATGAGGGAGGCACCTCACCTTCTGTCACAAGAACTGTGTAATTAGTTAAAACAAGTTCACACATTGTGTGATTGTAATATGTCGTTAAATAAAATGGTTCCAACGTCACCTTCCATCATTATTAGTAGATCAGCTCGATATTACTAAAATATTTTAGCGTCCGTAAAACATTTACGATACTTACTACAGCTTAAACAGACTCACACGCAGCTCAATCAGTCCGCTCACTGTGGATCGATGAGAAGATTGTCGAGCTGAAGGATGAATTGAGCAAAATGCGTTAAATGAATTGAGCAAAATGCGTAGACAGGACTACCTAAAATCCGAAGAAAAAGTTGGTATACGATTTCGGCAACTGGCTCCTCCATTATCTGGGAAGGAGGTCGATATACCCAGGGCGGTGGTGATTTTTCGTCCGCAAGTCAACAAAGTTGACAGTGTGCTGACCTCAACACATTACGACGGTGAAGTAGAAGCCCAGTATGAGCAAATTTTCCAAGCCATACACACCTCCGAAATAAACTTCACCGTTGCGATGGGGATTTCAGCACGACGCGATGGGATCACACGGAAAAGCGAAGAGCTGAGAATGAGTCCATGTGACAAAGTGTAGCATCATTTCGTTGAAGCCAGCGATTCTGAGAGATATCGAGAAGTTCTACTGATAATTATTAAATAGTATAGATTCTGAGTTGTACCCAATGTACATCTAACACCTCAGCTTCACCAATGATATTGTGAACATGGCAGAGTCGCTGGATGACTTGAATACCATGCGCAGCAACATCAAATATTTTTTTCATCGAATGGGTCTTAAAATGAACATGGACTAGACCAAAATCATGTCAAATGTACATGTTGCACCTGTATCGCTCGTCGCGGAAAACGAAGTCCTCGAAGTTGTAGACCATTTCACGTTAGAGCAGATTATATAGCTCGGTAGGTCCAACTTCGACAAACAGGTCGCTTGAAGAATTCAACTTCGGGAAGCGACGTGAAGTCTTATAATCGAAAATCCCTCATTGCTCAACGAACAGTATGTTTAATCAGTGTGTGTTGCCAGAGATAACACATGGTATTGAGACGTGGTTTTTGATGTCTGGTCTTTTAGAGAAGCTCAGAGTCACTCAACACACGATGGAGGGAGCTACGACCGGGGTTTCCTTGCGCGATAAAATTCGAAATATGGAAATTCGCTAAAGACCTAATGTTATCGATCATAGCTCACAAAATCTGCTACGAACTACGCGCTACGAACTATGCGCTACGCTCTACGTGCTACGAGTTATGGCAAATCAAATCACTTTAATGCATCTATACTGTGTACAGGGTGGTTTACAATTTTAATATAATGTGTTCTAATTCTAACTACTATAGACCCGTTTGGGTAAGGCAAATGTATTGACTGTACTAGTATACCACAGATGAGGCCCAATAGGGTTGATGCTGATACGGAGCCGCAGAGAACGAGGCTCCAGATCGAAGTGCAGGTGTAGGAATGGGGTGAATTTTAGTCAGTAAGAGACTGACACTCTGTTAAGCTTCACCCGAGTGAGAGAAGACATTCGATGATTTACCCACCTTAAAAAAGGGACATAAAAACTCCAACGAAGCTGTATTATCCAGTTTTCCTCTTAGTACATACTTTTAAAATAAAATGCATAAGACTTATGTACCATTCGACAAATTACAATAAAAACTTTTATAATAACTATATGTATAGTGTCTATATCGTTATACATAATTAATATAATTATATATAACGAAGTATAGCCGAAACTATGGTTTTGCGCACTCAGAACATATTTCGAATTTCCCATGGGTTCAAACTGGACTGGGTTAAAACGGTTTTTATTTATTGTTATCGTCGGCGTTTGCAAGTACAGCAAATGCTATTTACAGCTAGATCAGTATATTACAGTTACATTACTACTGCTAATCAAATAGACGTGACCTACGACGTGATTCAACAAGTTTCATCCAGTAGATGTCGCCGTATTTCCGCTCACGCTTATCAATGAGCGTCAGTCTAACGGCCGCCAGGTCGGGGAAGAGTCAAAGGGATGAGGGGTTGCGCGCGGCACCATGTTCCCTTCAATGTTGCGCAGCTTTTCATGTTATCGATTGTTTAATTCCCCCCGGTACCTCTCGAAAGCAGGACGTATTGCTTGTTTAGTGAATACTGTGAAAATAATCAACGAAATGGCGAAAAAACTCAGTCCTGAAGAAAACTTCTGGTCTCCGTTCCAACAAGACGTGCTGAAGATGGTGCAGCGCCACCCTGTCACGTACATCAGGGACATTATGATGACCCCGACCCAATACAAGGCCGCTGTGACGACAGCGTGGGAGCGTATTTCACGCGACATTCACATGCCCCGTAAGTTTTTATTTACAAACTTATTTTGTTTACATTTCTATAGTGTATTTTGTATTGTATGCGAGGTTAGCTTGTGTGATGTCATCTGTTTTCTTATTGTGCTATAACTGCGATTTTTTTTTATTATCGTTTATCTAGTTTTTCTAGACCACCATCCTGCGAATTTTTAGTTGTAGTCAAACACATGTAACGATGCCTAGCTGCGTTAAACAAATGCGTAATACACCATATCAGATAGCGTACCTAGTTATCGGTAAAAACTGTTGTTACATAGTAATAGAATGAGACCTTTTACAAAGGGAAGAATTTTTTCCCTATTTCAGTTACCTATGTAATATCGAAAAATAGTCTCTTTTTGAACTGAAATTTCTTACGTAAAAATGTAAAAACGTAATATAATAAGGTTAATAACTAGTGCGCTTCTTATTTCTTATAATGTCTGTTTTTGAACAGTATTCACATTAAATTATGTTTTTATAGCACCTTTACAGTATATGAAAAAATAATAAGCTTAATTAAGGCCTATAAATTAAAGCGATGTTTTTCGCTTAGCATCTTATTTACAATTGTGGAAGTTATGGATATCAACCATTGAGTAAACATTAACACATCACTAAATGGATGGCAATCCTTTAGAAATTACCCCCGATGAAACGAATTCCTGCTCTCCACTGTTTGATGATAAGTTTCTCAACGTTTGTTTTTCCTTCTTTTCAGAGAAAGCTTGCAAGCAAGAGTGGACCAGCATCAAGCTGAGATACGCCAAGCTGAACAATCTGATCCGCTTCGGGAAAGTGACAGAGGAGGTGATCTCGTTGCACCCTAAGACGAGCAAGTACATGGATGGATCTTTGGAGTTCATGGACGCTTATATCTACGAGATCAATGACGATGACATACCTCCACACATTCACAAGCGCTTCAACAAGTTATTTGGAGTGACCAACAAGCAGGTCGTCACCAAGGAGATGGTACAGGCCTTGTTAAAAAACCGCACGCAAGAGGAAGAGCCGAACGATGAAATGGGGAAGATGCATGTGCAAAATTTGATGAATATCGTGGAGGATGCTGTGGAGAAGTCTCTCAGGGAAATGAACACATCTGAAGAGCAGCCAGAGCAGCGTACTGCTGGTTAAGCTAGGCTAACACTAGCGTTATGATACTGTTTAGTATATGTCTCACGATTACATCATAATAATTCATTTAATCACTTATTGTGTTGTTGTAATCCGATGTGGTCGTATGAATGTTCATAACTTTTTGACTAAAATGTCTTTCTGAAGACTGTTTGGAATTGTAAGACAATCAAAAATATATTAGGAAAGATGGTTTTGGATTGGCAGAAGTTTGGAGAGGACTGTGACGACGGACGGTGCAGGCGGTGTATACCGAAGAAACAAAAAGACAAAAAAATACTGGAAATGAAGTGGACTGATTATGGGAAAGCCAAATTTGAAATTATAAGTGTTAGTTGTAGTTCTATTTAAAGTCATATTTTAACTGTATCGGCGTCAATGTGTTTGATCCAATGATGTTGTAGATGTATGCATTTAAAATAAAGTATCCATTTTTCTCTTAACAAAAACATGATGTTTTATTTCAATCTTAACACACCATACATTCATGTTGTATTGAATTCATCACTAATGGTACCAACACACCTGTACACTGTATTACAACTAATGCAGGCACACACAACACAACTTATGATACATTATTTTTATTCATTTTCCTCTAATTATCCTAAAGCAATATGTTGGTCCAATTTTTTTTTTTATAAAACGTTGCCCCGGATCATTAGTATTTTCTCCTGTGTCGTGGGTGCGTTTACAAACATTAAAATCAATAAAATAAATTGTTGTTTCGGGTCTGGACCCGAAACAACAATTTACGGATCACTTTGTGTTGTCCCGTGCGGGAATTGAACCCGTGACACGTTGCACACAGGTTGCCCAGCCACCGCACCAACCGTACAGTCATATAAATATATATGTATTTATTATCTTTCTTTCCTATTAAACGTTATTCCTTCACAAAGTCCTATTTCATCAACATAATACGAGTAAGTAGCTACTACTACATATTAATCAATCCTATGTGGTTGCTTTTCTGTTTCAATTTGTACAAACGGAATATAGATAATGTGTTTGAATTTGAAATTATAAAAATATGTCTCTCTTTTCTTTTCTAAAATAACCGCATTAACGTAAATATTAAAATTGTATAATAACGCAATTCTATATTTCTTACATTTTGCCCTAAAATAAAAATAATACCTAAATAAATAAATAATAAAAATAAATAAATATGTGAATAAATAAATAAATAAATATGTGAATAAATAAATAAATAAATAAATAAATAAATAAATAAATAATAAATATTGACTTCCAGATAGGCCGATTGGAAGCGACCTGCATACAGCGGCTTCCTGCAACCTTAATCAGGTGGTCTGTCCACTTTGCGGGTGGGTTTGGTCCTACGCTGTGCTTGCCGGTACGTGGCCTCCACTCGAGAACATTTCTGCCCCAGCGGCTGACGGTTCTTCGCGCTATGTGCCTTGCCCACTGCCACTTCAACTTGCTAATCCGCTGGGCTATGTCGGCGACCTTTGTATGCGGATTTCTTCGTTTTTTATTCGGTTTCGCAAAAAACTCTGAGCATAGCCCTTTCTATAGCGCGCTGAGCGACCTTGAGCTTTTTTAAAAGGCCCACGGTGAGAGACCACGTTCGAGTTCCATAGATCATCGCTGGTAACACATATTTATATAGACTGTTATCTTGAGGCATTGAGGTATGTTGGACGAGAAGATGTTGCGTAGTTTGCCGAACGTTGCACATTAAAGTTGGGTTCGACGATTGACCTGCTTCTTGACATAAGAACTAGCTGGATCACTCGTCCCAGGTTACTTATTCGTCAACCATTTCGAGGGTACAGCTCCCAACTGATATCGGTTTGGGCACAACATGGGCGTTCGACATGACTTTCGTCTTGTCCATGTTCATTCGGAGCCCTACCTGTTTAGAAACTCTACAGAGGTCATCGAGCATTGTGCTTATATCATCCAGCGATTCTGCTATGACTACAATGTCGTCGGCAAACCGGAGTTGAGTGATGTACTGGCCGTTAATGTTGACGCCAGATCCTTTCCATTCCACAAGCTTGAAGGCGTTTTCCAATGCAGCGGTAAATAGTTTTGGAGATTTGACTTCTCCTTGCCTTACACCTCGCTGCAGAGGAATATCCTCGGGTTCTGGTCCTGTACTCGGACCGACATAGTGGTGTATGTGTACAAACACTTCAAAACCTCGATGTACCGATAGTCAATATGGCAACACTTTATTTTTTTTATTGAGGGGGGAAAATCATCCAATGGCTGCTCCCGCCTGGGTGAGGCGAGAGGGAGTGCAACACTCTTACTGACTAAAATCCACCCCGTTTCTACTCCTGCGCTTCGAACCGGAGCTCTGGCAATTCGTTAAGCCCTCCGCGGCTCTGTATTGGCATCATTGGCCCTATTGGGCCCCATCTGCGGTGATCTGATGGCTCATTGCAGCACGCGAGAAACGCGACGCGCTGTATTCTCTTCTGGTTCCGACCGGACGGCGAGTTACCCGTGCTCACCGTTCGCAGGCCCATGCTTACAGTTTCCGGAGATCGTCTCGCAATCCCCTACGTCTGAAGTGTCTCTCGCGACAGCTAGCATGCCTGCTTCGCAGAAGAAGGTGATGGCATCTCAGTCGCCCTCGCTCCGTACCGTGGTCTGAACCAGAACCGGACGCGAGGGGTCGCCGTCTCCGATAAGTGTGGTGGTCCTAATCTTCAAAAAGTGAGATTGATGACTTCTGAGCCATGTCTATAAGAGCGACGATTTTGAGGGTCACCACGAATCATCTCGCACGTAGGTTCGATGGCTTCCAACCTCTCCATCAAGCCGGTTACTGGGATGCTGTCTCGTCCTTCTGCGACGCAGTCATGCTAGCTAAGGAGGAAGCAGAGCGCACGAGGGAACGAACCACCTCACGCCCCAGCCGTCGCGAGAGACACTCCGGGCGTCGGGGATCGCGAGACCATCTCCGGCCACGGTTAGCACGGACCTGCGGATGGCGAGCGACTTCAAAAAACGGAGGAGGTACTATGTTCGGCTGATTGTTTTATTTTTGTTTGATTGATCGCGCATCACTCCGCCATTTGTGAACCGATTTTCAAAATTCTTGATTTGTTTGAAATAGTATATTCCCAAGATGGTCCCATTTCCATGAGAACAGGATCTGATGATGGAATCCTAGGGAAACCAAGGGGAACTTTCGAAAGCTTGTAGGGGCGAGTAATGTGTCTATTATATTTTTCAATTAGTATTTTTAAATAGTATTGTTTAATAAGGGTCTGGATTCGACCTGATGATGGAGCCGACAGACTCCTCAATGGTCCATATTAACTACCTTGTGTTTGGGCTTGATTAATTTGTACTGATTAGAACTTTCGATTACGAGAGGCAATACTGATCTACGTAGCTTTACACTAAAAATGTTAAATAAAAAATAAAAAAAACTGCGTTTAAAAACCCACTGTTAGGTTAGAAGTCGGTGCCATAAGCTCATATCATAATGATATAACTTAATGGGATAACAAAATTGTAAATTAGGTATACATTAAGGTTTTAATGAATAATTTTGTATAGAACTTATGGCGCAGACTTCTAAACTATCAGTAGGTAGGTGACACAGAACTAATAATACTTAGTTACTTTTTGGTTTTTAATTTTTACCATTTGTTTGTAATTAGTTTTTGGTTTAAATATCTTACTAAGAAGACAAAAGTTATCATACATTTATTTCAGTTTTACTTTGAGACACAAAGTACACAAAAAGGAGGCAATCGACAAAAATCTGGAATAGGTATTCATAAAATAAATTCGAAGGCCGATATCTTGATGGGCCGATATCAGGAATGATGGATACTACCACCTCTTAAGGGATTAAGGTCGACTTCATTTGTAACCCTGTAGATATTTAAATCTTTTTTTTTAAACAAACGCTGCTCCACACTAGGATTTTCTCCTGTGTCGTGGGTGCGTTTACAAACATACAAGTTCACATACAAAATGACACCCAGACCCGGAACAACAATTTGTGGATCACACAAAGTGTTGTTCCGTGCGGGAATCGAACCCGCGACACGTTCCACGGCAGCTGGTTGCCCAGCCACTGCACCAACCGTGCAGTCAATCTCATTTGTGTGTACGCTCTTATTATGTGGTACATATAATTCAGGGATTTATTATTTAACTAGCTGTTGCCCGCGACTTCGTCCGCGTAGAATAATGACTTCTGACAGAATTCATCAGAATCAAGTCAGTGCCCAATTAGGATTTACCTATTGTGAAATGATTTATCGTAATTTCAATAAATTAAAATCCCGCAGGGTTCTTACCAGTCCCGGCCCGATCACGTAAGTTTTGAGTAATATAAACTTCGACTATTGTTGAACAGAATCTCTATAAAATAAGTTCAGTGGTTAAAAGATAGAGAGTCCTGGAGCATTGACGCATAGTTCCCGTTTCCGAGGGACTTCTGTGATAAAAACTATCATACGTTACTCAGGTCCCAACCCAAATCATCGTTTTACCGAATGTAATTCAAAAAGATTCAATGATTCTAGATTCAATTTTCATTCCCAATTTTACACCAACTATCATTCCCTATTTTATCCCCTTAGGGGTGGGATTTATCAAAATCCTTTCTAAGGACCTATGTCATAGTAACTTTATGCATGCAAAGTCTCAGCCCGATCAGTTTAAAACTGGCAAAGTATCACACAAACTTTCACCCTCTATATTACCCACTTTGGGGTGGAAATGTTCAAAAACCTTTCTAAAGGGACGTGTACGTCATAATATCTACCTGCACGCCGAATTTCAACCCGATCTGTGTAAAACTGACAAAGCCTCATACAAACTTTCATCCCCTACATTATCCCATTGGAGGTGGAAATGATCAAAATCCTTACTTGGAGATGCCTACGTCATAACATCTACTTTCATGCCGAATTTCATCCCCATCGGTGTAAAACTGACAAAGTTTCATACAAACTTTCACCCCTATTTTACCCCCTTGGGGGGTGGAAATGATCAAAATCCTTTCTTAGAGGATGTTTACGTCAAAATATCTATCGGCACGCCGAATTTCAACCAGATCGTTTTATAATTGACAAAGTTCCATACGAACTTTCACCCCCTATTTTACCCTCTTAGGAGTGAAAATGATCAAAATTCTTTCTTAGAAGATGCTTACGTCATAACATCTATCTGCATGCCAAATTTCAACCCGATCAGTTAAAAACTGACAAAGTTTCATACAAACTTTCATCCCCTTTTTTACCCCCTTGGGGGTGGATATTATCAAAATCCTTTCTTAGCGGATGCCTACGTCATAACATCTATCTGTATGCCAAATTTTAGCCCAATCTGTCCAGCAGTTTGGGCTGTGCGTTGATAGATCACTATGTCAGTCAGTCAGTCAGTCAATCACCTTTGAATTATATATATATAGATAGATTATATTTATTTTCACT